TTCTTCACCTGCGCGAAAGGGGGGACCGTCGTCGTGAAGGAGGCGGTGAGTTTCACGGTGCAGCGGAATCGGGCGGTAGGCGGGGGGAGCCGACTCCTCCGCGCGGAGTTCATCCGGGGGCTGCCGGAGAACGCCTACGCGACGCAGACGGAGCAGGCGTGGTTTTGGCCCCTCTTCCCGAAGGCGGTGGGGCGAAAGATCCCGGAGGAGGATCCTGGGAATGCGTCGGAGGCCGCCTCGAACCCGGATCCCGTGGCAGCCTCGGCGAGCGACGGGAAGGAGCAGCGGGGTGGGAATGCAACGGCCCCGACGGATGCCGACGCGTCCGGCGAGAAGAAGAGCGGGGAGGGGCGGGAGCAGCCGACGTCGTCGGCGCCGCCGCCGGTGTTGGTGCGGTATTTCGGTACGGTGCGGACCTACGACTCGGAGGAGCGTCGTGGCTACATCCGCTGCGATGAGCCCGGCGAGCTCGCCGTCTTCTTCCACGCGGAGACGGTCCTGTGGGACTTCGGCCTGCCGCCGCCTCAGCGACGGCTGATCGAGGGGATGCGGGTGCAGTATAGCGTCGCCGGGCGAGATCGCAGTCGGAAGTACCTCGCCACCCTCATCACCGGCGTCGACGGGAGGCCGTTTAGCTTGGAGAATATGCAGTTTGTGGAGAGCCCGAGGGCGTCCTCGCTGGGCGGCAGCGGCGGCCCGCTGAACGACAGCGCCGCATCCGGCGGTGGCGGCCAAAGTCACTTTAACGAGCGAACCGAAACGGGTGTCGAGTTTCGACAAAAACGACAGCGCGAGGAGGACGACACCCAGCTGCTGCTCTTCGAGGAGGATGATTATGCGGTGATTTGAGATTTCTTCGAAGGTGAAGATGCCCAAGATAGAGAGGATAAACTGGGAAGGGTGTCAATCGATGGCTTCTTTGTTTATTTCCATCTCCCCCCCCCCCCCCCCCTACCCTCAAAAAAAAAAAAGAGTGTGGAGATGAGGCACTCATCTGCCGAAGCGTGGTCAGCAGATGTTAACCTTACCCGACATGTTCATCTCGTATCTTGATGGACGAGATTCAACTGAAGGGTGAAGCTCACAAACTATGAAAGAGGAATTAAATCGTAAATAGAAAACAGCAATACTTTTGCATATACACGTGCACTAAGGGCGCTTCTTCAAGCCGATCCATTAGCTTCCTATTGTAGTATGACTTTAGTCGGCTGCCATTTGCTACATTCGATTCAGAGGGCTGGTTCATTTGTCATTATTATTACTATTAGTATCATTATTTTGGGAGGCTAAATGAGTGTGTCCTACTTTATTGTGGTGAGAGAATGTCGGGGCTGTTGAGGTCCTGAAAATGGAGGAGAATGCGTGTATTCCTTTTAGGTTTTCTCCATCAGCCCTTTTTTCTTCATCGGGTTTTCCGGATAATCTTGGGAAGATAGTCTTCAAAGTGAATCTACGAATTTAGGAGTTTTTTATTACTTATATATCTATTATTAAGTTGGAAGTTTCGCTTCTTTTCAGCATTCCTCTTTGCTTTTGGGATCATTTTAATTTAGTGCCTCGGAACAACGTGCCGAATACCGACGAAGGGCGAGGAAAAGAATCTCGTCCGACGCGCGCGTGTTCCTTTTTTTTCCATCTTAACTCATCTTCTTACAACGCCGTTTACAGCGTAAATGATTTCTGGCCATAAGGGCTCAACCGGTCCTCAAAGCCCGCATCCATATGAGCAGATATCGCCCATGAATGACGCGGATGTGGAGGATTCCACGGGACTTGAGACCCTAAGTCCTTCAGAGGAAAGTATAACTATCACTGAGAACTGCCACCACGTGGATCCATGCGTGTGTTGCCACTGCCACTTCAATGGACTCTATCCAGAGTGCTGCGCACACCATGCGGAGGGGGGGCCCCACCACCTTACTTGTGAAAAGGCGAATATTCAAATTGAGAATACTTTCAACCATCCGATCGCTGCCGATAGTGGGCAAGCGAAGCCGAGTTCGGACATTCGAACCATCCTATCCAACAGCGCCAAGGTGACGGCACAGTCGCCGTGGGCTGACATCATGGGCGTGTCGACGACCTCCAACGTGTCGAATCATATGTACTCGATCCAGGCCGTCAACCCCACCGGGGATCCCCCCATTAGTGTGTCCCATGCCACCCCGCATCCGTCTAGACACGGGGAATCGCGCGGGGGCAACCTGACGCTGTCCTCGCCGCCCCCGCGGTGGCCGCACCCCGCCGCGGCGAAAACCGACGCGGCGCCGA